GTTTATAAAAAAATTTCAAAATACGTTTTTCTAAAATTCGCTTGAAAATGAAACAGAACTGGGGCGTTTAATTATATAATTGAATTTAAAGTTTTTAGTTTCTTTTTCTGAAACATGGTAATTCCTGTGTAGCGATGGAACCATATTTTTAAATCAGTTAATTTATAATATTTATGCTCTGTAAATTTGCATTGATCACTGTTTCGTAAAAATCAAAATTAAGAATATTAATAAGAACACCGAATTATATATCTTATTGTTCTTTCTTTTATTATATATATATATATATATATATATATATATATATATATATATATATATATATATAGTCGAGCCAAGACACAACAGATATGGTCTGAAGATTGCGTTCAAGCATGAAACAGATTGTTTCCGCACAATGTTGACGTCATTGTCCACTTTTATATTTACATATACCACATACCTTCTATTGGACTTTTTTTACCCATAAATATAGCAGAACTTAAAACCATATATTTATAATTGTATCTCTTGTTATATTTAGTTGATAGGAGCAATCTACATTCAAAGCGATGCTGCGATCAATCTAGCAATAAAAATCTACATCCAAAGCGAAGCACTAACTTACGTATCGATCAAAATTTACTTTCAAATCGAAGTTTAAACCAACATACCGATTAACATCGTAAATCAAAGAGGGAGTGTATCCAAGGTATCGTTTGTCTAACCGACTTGCCGTTTAAGTAGTTCAAAACAAAATTATAAATTTTCCCATCAAAATATTTAACGGAATCTTTTTCAAATATCATTGAGATCATTCTTGATTCGATAAATCTCTAGTAACGTCTGTTAAAAACAACCTTTCCCTATGCATCTAAAACTGTATATAACGCTTATTTTGCGGTAAAATCATTGTTGTATAATATATATATATATATATATATATATATATATATATATATATAACCTTTATTCTACAATCTACATTCAACATCATCACCTGATAAGACACCAAAGGTGTTAAAACAAAATAATTATATATATATATATATATATATATATTGTTGTATAATATTGTCTTATTGCTCTATAATATGTGTATATAGATAGATAGATAGATAGAGAGAGAGAGAGAGAGAGAGAGAGAGCGATGAATAAATTGTGATCTCTTCAAACACCGTCGTAATCAACATTAGACTCCTCCACCTCTTTCCGAATCCTCACCTCTATCTTCAGATTGTGACCAAAACACTCTGAAATGTTCGCACTGGAGCTTCGGGGCGAATAACAAGCATTACACTATGACGTTTCCAAGTTTTTGGTGGAGTGAATTGCGTCATGGTGCTCTTTTTCTCACAGACAGCCCTACTATACTGTGCTATCGACAAAATCAAAAACAAAATATATGCGCGTAATTAAAATGAAATAAAATGACGACAATTTACCCTTCGCACCCTGTTAAAATGAGATGTCAGTATTATTTTCATTTTTGCATAACTTAGACGGCAATTTATCCATTACACACTCTATGTTCATTTACAATGTGAGCGATTATGACTCTCCACAAATTCCTTTCCTTTATAGTTTGTGACTTTTTAGGAATTTTTTTCTCGTTGCTATTTTTCATTGCTTCTCTGAGACTTGATAACATCCAAGGCTTTAGAGTTGATTCTACCTTACTATTTTCCCATTGGGATATATGAAATAAATACATGAAACTAACATGAAAATGTCAAACCGAAGATTTCATGACCACAGGAGGCAACATCCTGATCGTCGGCAAATGATCATGAGAGCGAATAAGCAGTCTTGGATTGATGCGACAGACACGATTAGAGAATCACTCCAGCAGTCTCTAACAGATGTGTTACATGCAATGAAGAGAAAAATAAATAGGACTTCTCTTTGAAGATATCGTTGGCGGGGATTGCGAAAAGATGATGTGATAGGTACATGCCTATATCAAGGAAATTAGCGTAAAAGTGAACGAGAGAGACTTAAGAGAGAATCGAACTACGTCTCCTCCGGTAAAATTTACCCTATCGCACCATCTCCAGTTATGTGGCATTTATTTCTGCAGTAGACCAGTTGCCATCCAAGGTCTGTCCTGCAATTTACCCATATATATATATATATATATATATATATATATATATATATATATATATATATATATAGTATATATAGTATATATAGTATATATATAGTATATATATAGTATATGTATATATATATCTTATATATATAGTATGTATCGTATATATATTGTATATTTCGTATATATATAGAAGTATATATCGTATATATATATAATATATATCGTATATAATATATATATATATATATATATATATATATATATATATATATATATATAGAGTATATATCGTATATATCGTATATATATATATATATATATATATAGTATTTATATAGTATATATAGTATATATATATATATATATAGTATATATATAGTATATATCGTATATATATCTTATATATATAGTATCTATCGTATATATATTGTATATATCGTATATATATAGAAGTATATATCGTATATATATATAATATATATCGTATATATATAGCATATATATATATATATATATATATATCGTATATATCGTACATAATATATATATATATATATATATATATATATATAGTTAAGTTATGAAGAACTTGGTAAACCAAATTGGTAAATCCAAGGAGGATGAAATCCTTAGAGCTAATATTTGATTTTCATTGTTGGAAGTGTTACCTGATGATCCGGAATCCTTTAAAAAGGATTTTGGTGAAATAAATTATTGTAATGGTACATTAAAGTGGTCTGTTTCTCATTAAATTTATATATATATATATATATATATATATATATATATATATATATATATATATTTTAAGCGATTCACCCCAAGCAAGGCGAGAAGCCACTAGGACGCAAGGGGTTACAGAAAAATTTGGATCAAGAACAGATAGGAGTGATAGAAGAAAGGATGTAAAGGGTAGTGGATAGATCAAGGCAACTGGAGATGTCGGTTGACATTACATTTGAATAGCTGGAGATTATAGCTCTCAGGGAAACTGGAATAGGGAAGGGAGTTCCACAGGCGAGAGGTACGAGACATGAAGCTATTGGAGAAGAGACGGCTACATTTAGGAGTTTCGACAGTGAAAGGGTGAGAGCGGTATGCCAGCCTCGTAGGGCGCTTGAACTCATGAAGTCTGGGAACCAGTGAATGCAGCTCCTCGGAGAAATTGCCATGAAAGTATCTGTAAAACAACCGATTGGAGGTCCTTTTCGAGACGCACGGCCAGGTTAGTTTTGTCAGTGACACTAGATTTGTTTTTGAGGCAGGAATAAATTGTGGTGTCATCCGCGTAGATGCCAACTTGGGAATTTATGGCGTCAGGAAGGTCATTTATGTAGATAAGGAATAGAGTGTGGCCTAGGATGGAGCCTTGAGGAACACCTGCTTTCGTGGGATAGGAACTGAAGGAGAATCCGTTGAGAACGACCTTCAATTCACGGTTTGACATGAATGATTGTATTAGGTCAAATAATCGACCCGTAATGCCATAACCCTGGAGCTTGCGAAGAAGGCCGGCATGCCAAACCCTATCAAACGCTTTGGAGATGTCTAGGGCCACAGCACGAGCTACCCCCATATTTTGAAGAGGCTAGTATATATATAGTATATATATATACTATATATATTATATATATACATACATATAGATAGATAGATAGAGAGAGAGAGAGAGAGAGAGAGAGGGAGGGAGGATTCATACCTTTCCAAAGGGTATTAGCATGTAAGTGAATGTAATGTATTCGATTTGAGTTCGAACTCGGCTCTCCAATTGCTCACTCCTAGCCGCTATCCATTATTCCACCGTGCACATCTCCACGTTTCCTTGTTATGATTTAAATATAATGTTCTTCGTATTTTCTCGACTACTAAGTAGATAGAATATTGGAAAATACAATAAATGTTCGTAAGAAGAAACCTGAAACTGTACATTTCTTTAACGTATTTCATTTTAACAAATGGAAATCTGCAATAGTTTATGTGATGCACTATTTTATATTTGGTGAAATTTCAATGAATGAAAGTCTCGGGTTGCTTGATTTGTTGGTTGTTTGTTTGGTGGGTTGATTGGTTGGTTAGTTTTATTTAGCGGCATATCAACTTCTATGGCGAAATCTAAATACTTTTTATGTAATTTTATACTTTCAACTACAGATCCCATGTACATAATTTTATAGTTTCAGGGTAAAGGTATGTTTTGTAGATATATACTTTGTACTGTTAAATAATAGTTTAACAGACTATTATTTTTATTGATAGTATATCACTGCTCGGACTTCCTGAGGCTGACCTTTGAGGTCAGATGGAAGACAAAACAAAGAAGTCGATTTTGATTGACTGAGCCAGCAGGGAACGATAGATAGAGAAAAGGTTTTCAGGCAGTTGTTTCTGAACTGTCAAGCAATGTAGACGTGTTTCCTTTCGTGTCTGAAACGGCTCCCCATTGGAGTGAGAGTGCAAACCCACTGGATAGTTAAAAAATGTAAACGTCGACGAGATTAATAGAATAGTTAGATTAAATTATCCTTGTTAAAGTTCTTTTATCTATGGACTCAAAGCATCTAGTGAGCACCAGCCCTAAAAGAAGAATGCAAATTTATTATCAAGCGATCACCGTCGCCGAAGACTATCCCCACCAAGGGACTATGCAACAGTATGTCATAAAATTTATTGTTGGTAATTTTATTATAAAAGTGTGCTGTTGCTTAGGGTTTCACTATTTGCGCATAGCAGGGACCCTAACAGGTGCTACCACCTCGGGTCTCGGTGAACCTGGGATCAACGGCAATTAAGAGGTGGTTCCCCCTCAAAACCTTCAATATTCCGATCAGAGGCCTTGCTGCCGGATGTAGTTTTCCGTCATACCCAGGATAAATGTCTCGGTTAAAACGGCGTTTAGAAACTAGAACAAAATGAAATGAAATTCTTAGAAGTGGGACAAATATGAATAAACGAATGAGTAACTAGGGTTTTTTTTTTTAAAAAAAAACGAGAATAAATTGAGTTTGCGAAAGAAAATATGAATGAATAAACGAACGAACGAATGAATAAACGAACGAATGAATGAATGCGAAGAACGAAAAGCAAAAGAAACAAATGGATGCAAAGAAAAAGGAATTGATAAAAATTTTAATAAATCAAGTAAATGATAAAGAAAAGTACACAAATAAAAGAAAGAAAGAAAGAAAGAAAGAAAGAAAGAAAGAAAGAAAGAACGCGAGAGAATAAAGATAGAAAGAAATACAGTAAGACAGACGGAGAGGAATCGTGAAATGAAAGAAAGCGAATGAATAAAATTATTGAAAAATAAAGAAAATGAATTCCTGAGTAAACAAATAAATAAACAAAGAAATTGTAAGAAAGAAACAGAAAGAAATTGAAAGGAAAAAGAAAGAAAGAAAGAAATTGAGAGAAAGGAACAAAGAAAGAAACAAAGAAATTGAAAGAAAGATAGAAAGTGAACGAAAGAAAGAAGCATACAAACAAACAAACAAACAAAGGATTTGAAAAAAAGAAAGAAAATAGTTCGGTACCTGAAAATTGAAGAATGCGATATTATATAAATGGATGAATGAATATGAGAAAAGAATAACCAAAAAAAAACTAAGGGACTGCAAAATAAAAGGTACGAATAAAATATTTATAAATGAATCAAAAGAAAAGAAGATGAAGTAAAATAAGAAAGTCGGCAAGAAAACAAAAACAAAAAGAAAGAATCGAACAAACAAGCAGGCAAAACAAAGACTGATATATAAAAAGAAAGAAACGTGTTCTTGTTTATAAGCATCACTATAAACGTAGACAATAAATATGTAGAAACAAAACAAAAAAAGAAAGAAGACAGGACGAAAAAAAGAAAGAAAAAATCAACAACGAACGAGAAGGAAAGAAAATGAAAACTCAGAATCAATCCCTCAACATGACAACAATAAGCCAACTGCCTGAATTGTTCTTTTCTTAAAGCCAGTCTAATTACTGTATTCATAAATGATAGTATCAGCTAAAACTTTTCGCTGGGCGCTGGTCAAAGCAAGAAAGGGAAAGGAAAGAATTCTACATACTAAATACAGTCTTTGCAACGGAATTCCGTCTATTATATTAAATGGTATTCATTCCCAACTGACTGAATAGAACAAACTATTTACATTATATCTCCATTTCAATCTGACTTCCTCGTTCCTATGCCACTGTTTCATCAGTATAAAAAAATCTACCAATATTACAACTGCTATTAGTATTGCAATTATATTGATTGGAGAAGATTCTGAAACGTAATATTAGCTTTTGAAAACATATTTCCATGCCATAGCTTGAATTCTAAAAACAAAATATTTATAAGAGAGATACTAAATGTACTTTGCAACCTACTAAACTGCAACAGTTAAAATATTAGTAACACTTGTAAACTTGATTGTTTCGCCTTGCCCCCATCTTGAAGAAAAGTATTCAACCGGCTGATGTATATATGACGTAATAGTTACAGACGTAGTGAAGGTGTGACGATGTATCTGAGTCAGCGGACAAGAGTTAACGCCATTTGACAACAGAATCAAAAAGACGGAGCTTTTTTTTATTTTTGTGTTAGGTGGGTGCAGTTATATCTGGGGACCATTATATTGAAACAACGGGACTTGTAGTGACAAGTTCCGTTGTCACTACGACTCAGTTCAGTCGAATAATACAGCCATTGAAGACTGACACAGTATCATTTAGTCAGACAAGTCACTTTTCCAACTCCGACAGTTGAGTCACATCATACCTGCAGGGATAGTCTCGTGTTCACAAGAATAAAAACATACAAGGAAATAAGACTAAAGGCATGTTTAATTGTAAACTAAAATAATATATAATTTTATTTATTTCTGTGTACTGGTAAATGTGTGTGCTTTTTAGTAATATAATTGTATAGTGTATATTAAGTTTAACTTGCTTAGATCGTCACAGAATCAGAATTTTCAGATTTGAATTCCTTATAATGGAATGAGTATGTGGGAACTAAGTAATTGTTATCGGCGTGGCAAATGGAATTGGCAATCCGAGTTCAAATTCCGGTAAAGTCTGTTGTGCGGACTTTCCCAAAAAGATCATTGGGAGAGACAAGAACGTCTATTTGTTCATTCCAATATATTATATAGGTTAAATAGCAGTGTAAACTGGGTTCCCTAGCCTTGAGTGGTATCTAACCTGAGAAAAAGATTTTCCTATAAATAGTTTCATGGAAATTGTTCTGATGAACTTTCCTCTATGATACCTAGACTTTATGAATTTAAGCGCTGTTTTAGATTGGCAATAAGATCTTATCCTTTTGCAGTTGAGATGTCTAGATGTAACCGTAAGTTCTATGTTAACAGTTTCTTCTCTCGCACTTCTCGCTTGTGGCTTCTTGCCTCCCACTTAAGTTTGATCTTCAAATATTTAAATGCAAAGTCAATCGTTATGTTAGGTCTTCTTAATTCTTATTCTTTTATTGTCAAACACTCAGTAACCTCCTTGCGTCTTAGTGGCTTTATTGCGCTGCTTGGAGGGAAATAATTAAAAGAAATAGAACTCTGTAGACAAAACCGTTGAGAAGACAAAGGAAAAGTATTATCTTCCGAAAAAGGCATGGTATTTACCAAATAATAATCAAGCGGTAATTGTGGAGAGACGTGATCACCTACATCCTGAAGGGACATGGCATTAAAAAGAAATAATTGTAATAATTCTTTCAATTTCCCATAACTCTTTCTATTAATTCGACTATTTCCGTTTAAAATAGGTTCAATACTTCTGAAAACGATTGACATTTCTTGCAACCTCTGCGCATTTGTGAATAAAACAATAGAGGGAGAATGCGATTAATTCACAGCAGACAGAACAACTCAGTTAAAAACAGTCATTAGTAACGACTAGTAGCATCTCACTAAATAAGATTATGCAAAGTGCTTGATTTGGCGGGAATCGATAAGAGCAACCGGTGAGGCTAGGCGACGAATGTTGCATATCCCTGTAGATTAAATTTGATATAAGAAAACAGCTGTAAAACGACAGATTTATGAGTAGGTTTGCAATACGTGAAAAAATTTCAGTTTTCAACAGCAATGAAGGTGATAAATCCAGGAATTTAATGTCGTCGCTTCTGGCCTCCGAAGTCCGCTGCACAATTCTTCACGTTTCAAACCATTATAGATATCCAAGATTCGTCTTCTGATATTTCAAAGTTGAGTCTGTCATTTAATTTCACTTAAGTAGAGCTCCTTAAGATTGCTGCCACAAAAAAAAAATCTTTCGATGCTTTCGACCTGATGACATCTCAAATATTACCGAACACTTCGCGGATTCAAAAAAAAACAAAAAAAACGAAACATTCACTACAAATTCGTGATCCTGATAAAATTGAAACATAGCTTATAATACGAACTACACAGGAAATTTCATATAATCAAAAAATGTTAAATCCCCGAAGACTATGAGAAAAAGAAGAAAACATTATTAAAGAATGTGAGCAATGAAAGAAGATAACGATTGGCATTACATTTAAATTTTTGAAGGGCAAAATTAAACCGTGATGCATGGAGCTAAAACAGAGTTCCACGAGAGGGGAGTATGATAGAAGAAACTTA